GGCGTCCGGCGAGACTCCTCAGGAACCGAAAATACTGAGGTTCCGGAACTGAAATGGGCGGCGGTCAACGAATATTCCTATCGTCCTTATTTTGAAACACTCAAGTCGTGTGCCAGCGAGCTGAGTTACTTCAGATAGTCTTTGTCTCTTGGGAGTATCCCAACCTCGGATTAAATATGGCGTTAAAAGCTGCACTAATTTCCTTGTGAGTTGGGATCAGTGGTTACTTAGCTCTATAACTGACCTCGTGATATATAGAAAATATCTATAAATCTTGTGATTTAGAGCAAGAAGAACTTTAGCAATAATATTATCAAACATTTTATTCTGTTGACACTTAAGTCATTTATGTATTCTGTTCATACTTTGTCTGTTAACCATATCTTCTACAGTAAGTGCATAACTTACACTCTACACTTACATGTATCCACTTCAAATTTCACAATTTTCAAAATGGTGGTTCTGACTACCAACAATTTCAGTCATGACAGGGTCACTGCTGACAGTACTGCCAAGCAGCCTGCCCTCAGTTTTCCATCCCACCCTCACAGATATCTTCGCCTGCCCTCAGTTTTCCATCCCACCCTCACAGGTATCTTCGCCTGCCCTCAGGTTTCCATCCTGGCCCTCACTGGTGTCTCATACTCTGGAAAGTCTGTAGACCAGAGGGGCTTGGCCAGATGTCTCCATAGGTGGGCTGCTGAGCGCTTACCCCACAGGCATTTCAGAGTTCCAGGCAAGGATCTTGAAGAGCTAAAGGATTAATGCAAGAACAACAAGCCCACTACCTTTGGCCACATTACTGGACTTCCCCGTTGTTTGCATAATGGTTAGATGAGCACTTCAATTTAGTTGAGCTAATTACAATGTTTAAAAAAATCATACAGTTTTCTTCTTTCTTAGGAGTAGTTCTTGACTGGTTGATGCAGCAGTACTACAGGCCTCCCTTTCTTTGGCAAAAAGCTAACAAATAGCAGACTTGAGTGACAAGACTCCTCACTTGAGTGAAAGCAAAGTGCAGGTGATCTCTCTAAATGCATATAGTTTGGCAGGAATTCCATCTGAACCCCTGCAGTTATATAGCATGAGGAGAGAATTCCCTCTGACCTTTTTATATTCCT